TTTGTATTAAGTTTATTCCTCACAATATTCATATGGTTCACAGATTTATATACAAACGAATTATACAAGGTATCTATACGTTTTAAAATAATCAAAATAAGTTATTTACAATAAAATCTAAAATTGTTTTTATTTYATAGAGACTAACAATTCAAAACGGTAGTTTGTTGTATGATTCGTGGAAAGAACCACCAGTTAGACCGCTAATGTGTGTGTATGTATTTAACTATACAAACGTTAACGAATATATGACTGGTGTACATCAGAAACTCAAAGTCCAACAAGTTGGGCCTTATTGTTATAGGTTAATATTTTTCAATTTTTTCTGATATTTATTTTCGTAAAATTTTATTGTAAAACTATAATTTAATTCAAATTATTTTTTTAGGGAAACTTTATACAGGGTAAACATAACTGATCATAAAAATGGTTCTCAAACATTTAATGAAATGAAAGTTCAAGAATATGCTTATGATGTATCCAATGGAACAGATAGTGATATTATTATAGTACCAGACATTCCATACATAGTGAGCCATCTTCAAATCATAGTTTATTTTTGTAACTACTTTACGACTAATTTATAGTTGTAAAATCATGACAAATATTATGATATAATTTATTGTATCTATCTTGTGGGTCACACTACACCTTTACCTACATGTATTGCCCTTGAATCTTTAATAAAGTACCAACACTTTTTACACAAATGAATTTTCAATCAATTAAAATTTTCCAATTTATACAATAAATAAAATACCTATAATTGGATAGATTGGTATCTACTAATAGTACCTATTATAATATAGAACGTGTTTGGTGCATCTCAAATATAAATATTATGCAAAGCAAATAATTAAAAATAAAAATAAAAATTTCAATGTTCGACTTTATTGTGTATTATCCTATAAATAAATAAACCCAATTTCCTTCCAAATATTAAAAAAATAATATAAAAAATTAACAATTAATATACAATAAATAGTAATTGACGTACGAGTATACATCATTTATATAATABAATTGCATTATATTCTTACTGTATGAAATATCAAACACAAAATTCTAAAATATATTCTCAAATTAATTGATATTAAACTAAAAGAGGTACATTTATATTTTATTTATTGTTTTAGAGTGCTATAGCTTTAACCATAGATGAGAATTTTCTCATAAGAAATGCCATGACATCGTTTTTGAATCATGTGTCCAATTTCCCGTTTGTCACTGTTAGTGTCTATGATTTTTGTTTCGGTTACCAAGATGGCGTGATAAGGACATTAGCCGCAATGGCTAAGTTGGCCAATAAGCCAGTTCCATTCGAAAAATTTGGTTTACTTATTAAGGTAAATAAAATATATATCATATAAGATGCTAATTGAATTTTAAGATTTATTGTAGTAGCCTTGTTGAAGTTTCATAAGTTACGAGTAGATATATATATATACTTATTACCCATAATTCATAATTTTTTTTTAGAGAATTGGAGTTAATCCTGATCGTTTGACTGTAACTAATGGCCTCGATAATCTGAATGAAATGGGTCAAGTGATACATCTTAATGGAAAATCAATGTTACACCCGTGGAGTACTGATGAGTGTAATTCAGTAGGYGGAAGTGATGGAATGTTTTTTCCAAGACTGAGAGTTCAACAGGGAGAAACTTTATACTTATTTCATAAGGATTCTTGTAGGAAGTTGCCAATGACTTTCCATTCTAAAGAAAAAGTAAATACCAGCACTTGATAAAAATTGAGTTTTAATTTTAATTTTAATTGTTTTTTTTTCCATTCAAGATAAAAAATGGTGTGATTGGTCATAGATATTTTTTGTCCATAAATTCATTCAATAACTCTATTCCTGAGAACCGCTGTTATTGCACTAGCACACCTTGTATGCCCGATGGTATATTCGATATGGGCAAATGTTCTACTCGTAAGATTTCCATAGAAAAATCGATATTATAATATTATATGATTTATTAAATTGCACAAATTCAATTATAATTCATAAAACGTATTGTTAATATTGTTGTTACTTAGGTTCACCGGTAGTTGTATCACGTGCTCATTTTCTACACTCAGATCCATCGCTATTGGACGCGGTCGAAGGTCTCAATCCTGATCCAAAAAAACACGAATTTACATGGCTTATAGATCCTGTAAATAGCGCAATAAAGTCTTATGAAAATATTCAAACGATTACTGACAGTATGGTTATTGTTTTTTTCCCCCTTAGATTCTCGGAATAACGATGGAAACCCAAATGAGAATACAGCTCAACATCCAAGTGCGTAATCCACACGGTTACGGTTCGCTGTCGACAATACCAGATAATACCATATTGCCATTCACCTGGTTTGAACTCGTAAGTTTGTTTACTCGTGACTACGATTATGTGTATCGCTAAAAATAACGTTTTTTTTTTTTTCAGAAAACTGGTGATGTGTCGCCAAAGCTGAACATGTTACTGTTCCATTTAACTTTCACTGTTCACTGGCTTCAGACGTTCCTGATGTGTTTGAGTCTAGTTGGATTGTTAGGCACGTCTTTTTGCCTAATGCGTATGCTAAATAGACGTTTAAGCAACAATATTGTGATAATTTCAAATGAAATACAACTAAAAGATAGGCATGCTGAAAAAATTCCTATTTGTTAATTCGATTACTTACTTTTGTTGTTTATTTTAATGTAAATCAATATTTTTTTTAAAGTATGTATGTTTATTATTTAATTGTACATATTAATCTATCATATTTTCAATTATTTTTTAGTGAAATATCTTTAATGCTCATTTTTTTTTTGTCAAATTACTATTGATAGAATTTTTATACATTATAATTTTATTTTATGTACCAACGTGTATATAAGATAATTATCTATTATTTGTAAAATCAATAAAATAGTAGTGAAAATAAGATCATAATATGTGGTGCAAGTGTATATTCCCAATCACAGGTAGTACCTAACCATTTTTTGGTAAGCTCGATATTTAAACGTGCTGACATGGTGTATCTCCACCCTAGTCCCTAAAACGTATTATTGTTATACATTTTTTTTTAGTAGGTACCTAACTACCAAATGTTGAAATGTCTATGAATTTCTTCGAGCAGAACAAACAATCGAATGAACTGAATTTTGAGCCCCTAGGCTATTAGTATTTTTGTGGAGTGTCAGAGGTGGCGAGGGGGTAAGAAGTAGAAACTTTTCCACAGTTCTAAAGTTTTGAAAAAAATGCTTATTTCCAAAATATCTTATTTTACCAATTTATAATACCACATTTTACTTGTTCTGTATATGACGTGTCTGGGGAAATCTCTTCCTCACCATGATCACATTATAAGGATGAACTGGTAATAAAATAAACGACCGGGATTATACTTATTGTGAATAATAATATAGAAGATTTAGGTAAATTATAATAAATCAGGTTTCTCTTAGGAGGCTCATATTTTTGAATCTAATACTTAGTTCCCATTTATCTAKTGAATGAAACAGAGATTGGTTATGTGCCATCGTAAAATTGGGGTGAAGTCAGTCCGAGGGACATGAGTATTATTATGGAAGGTTAGTTAAGGTAGTTGTTGATGACCCACAAAATGTTTAACCAATTATTTACTACCTAGGTAGGTACCTATAATTGTGTACGAATTTTGTTCTAATTCCAACCAAAAACATTTTTCAAGCATTTGGAATTTCCGGCTTCCATATCCATCCTAACAAATTTATTGTTTTGATGCTAGAATTAGTCTTGTATTTTGAACAAATATTATATACTTGTTTGATATTTAGTTGTAAATAATGCCATTAGGAGTTTCCCTGTATATAACTGGTCTTGTAGAATGTGAAGTAGATGTATTAAAAAACAAAAAGTATTTTAATAATATTTCAGTGTATATCTTCAATCTAATATAACTCTAACTCTGTCTTGCCTCTAAAATTACCTAATTATAATACCACTGTTGATTCATGCTTAAGTATCTCAAAAATGTTAAAAAAGGAATATTGGTAAAAACTAACAGAAATCAAAATAAATATGATTATATTTGATAAATAAATAAATATATTTTTTTATTTATAAACAAAAGTCGTCTAAAATAAATTAAACAGACAGGTATATAATATAATTATCACAGAGGAAAACTATAAGCTAAAAATAAAATTATTTCAATAAGTACACAAATAGCAAGAGCAAAAAAAAAAAAATAATAATACATAATTTAAAATTATTAAAAACAGCATGAATGGTTATTTAGTATACAGTGTACAAATAAAAGCAGTAAAATACATTTTATTATTAGTATTGTATTAAAAGCACAAATAGTATGTTAAGCTGGCCACATTAAATTTATCAGTCAATTTTTTTGTAAATAAAAAAAAATCTACTGTATTTCCCTATGGTGATGATTTTGTTTGAAAACTTTTACTTTTACTTTAAATTATTAATTAAAATTGTCTAAGATTTATTTATTTCTAAATATTGAACGAATATTTATTTATTTTTTTATAAGCATTTTAAGTTTAGATTAGAGGGGATGGGGAAGTTTGTACCACAAATACGTAGAGTAACCCTACTACTTCACACATATAATACTAAATAATATAAATATAATGAGAACACGTTTAAATATAATATATTAATGTATAGTAAATATAAGCCCGTTTAATATTGCACATGATAAAAGTGATTATATATAATAATGGGAATATTTTTAGGGCCAGTAACTTTTTCCAGCCCTGAATGTTAGGCATGTTTTACTGTTGAAAATGTAAACCAAAAGATATTGCGACTTAAATTAATATTTAACTTTTACCATTTGGAAATATTAATAGATTATTATAAATAATAATAATGATAAGATTTAAGAGTATTGAAGAATATAATTTTATCTAAATAAATAAATAGGCACACATAATTTATGCCAGATAATAATAAAAATACATTTCAACCTTTTAAGTCTTAAAATATTAGTTATTATGCTTAGTAAATAATTTATACTATACATAATTTTTATACCAAGCATTTGCTTTTAAGATCATGTTCATTTTAAGCTTTATTTAATTTAAAAAGGTCAATTTTTTTACAAAATTTTTTAAATTAAAATCAATTTGTGATGATTAAAATGTTTTGTTAATAACTACAAGACATGATCAATGATCATATTACTTAACATCTAAAATGATGTATTGATTATTAGATCACTTTGATCATTGACTAGAAAATGGTATACAAAATTGGTCTTCTTCCTTGACATAGAAGTTCTAGTATTGCCAGATTTATCTGAACGGGATCTGGGAGGATCTCGGATAAATATTTCACCAAAAACAGATGCTAGAATCAGTATAACATTGATTAAGTTTTAATTATTTAAAATTTATTTAAAATGTCATAAATAAATACCATTAGTAAGTTACCATTGGTAATATATGAATGTTAAATTAAATGACAGGATCCAATCAATTGGTTAGGGTATGTTTTGTAGAAAATGGAAACATTAATCAAGTAAAATAAGAAAATACTAAATAATACTTAAGTAGCAGAATGGTGTAGGGATTTAAAGAGCTGTGATGCTTAATTTAAAAAAATATATATAAAACTAACTAACCGATAGTTTTAACATCTAATTTGTTATCATTAACATGATTCAATAATTCTTGAAGAAATGCACAAAGGTATAAAAATACATTTTTACTTCTCTCCGGTAGTTGAGAAATAATCTGAATAATAGAATATAAATTAAAAAATGAAAATAAATTACAATTGAATAATAAAACAATACTGACTTGTTTACATTGACTGTAATAAGATACTGCAGATAAACAAGTTGCATGCAAATTATATGGTATTATCGGTTCTGATGTACTGTCTAATAGTATTAATAGAGCTTCAGCTACAGAATGCACACTACCAGCTGAAATAAGATTTAAAAAATAATAGTTAATGTTAAATTTTTTTATAAGTTATTTTATCAAACCATACGTAAAGCATCTGGCGATCCATTATCTAACCAATTTCGTATCTGGATAAATTCAGATCTGAGACCAGATTGTTCAAATAAATGTTCTTGTTTAAGACCATGTCTGTATAAATGATCCACAAGATACCATACTTCTTTAGGTACTGGGTAAGGATCCGAAGTCATATTGCTTTTATTATTTTCCTTAAAAATATACATTAAAAATTATCACCACGAGAGAAAATAAACCTTAAATATAGATAAATGAAAAACAAGTATAATATATTAATTATTACTTACCAGTTCCATAAGTTTCCCAAATGGTATATTTATAATAGGAACTTTCAAATAGCAAAGTGTTTCTAATGAACAACCAAAACAACTTCGCTCGTAGTTACCTAAATAATTCAGTCTAAATTATTGAGAAAACATTATTGTTACTTGAGTTATATACCTGTAACAGTTATAAAGATATCTTTTCCGCCTTCTAAATGTAATACTAAAATATCATACAACTTGTCTTGACCACTGATCATTTTGTATGATGATTTTTTATCAATCAAGACTTCTAAAGTAATATCACATTTTTCACCTAAAAAATTATTATTTTATTATTATGTTATCTGACATTAAATAGGTACTTTAAAAATTTACCAGGATCAATAAAACTCATAAAAGGCTCAATTCGCAACCATTCTTTACAATATGTAGAATCATCTAATTTTTTAATAAATTCAAACTGTACAGGAACTTGTCCAGTATTGGCAACTGTAAGTTCTTTTAATTGAGGTTCCATAAACTTCACCTTGTGGAAAATTATTTCAGTGTTATCAACCATAACTTGAGGTAAATATTCATTTTCTGCTTTGTCTAATTTTTTCATTATATGTTCATGAATTTTTCTGTACTTTGTCAAATCAACAACTTTTACCTAATCAAGTTTAATTTAAATAACCTACCTAATCAAGTTTAATTTTAAAACTACCAAAATTAAATAGATATTTACTTCAGATTCAAATAATGCGCTGACTGGTTTGTGATCACTGATCAATAAATTAGGATGACTTCTATAAGCAAGTTGTTTAATTGAATTGCCTCGCCATAATATTCGGTCACACCATGCAGGAGCACGATTCTTCTCACTTATCAAATATACACAAATTAATGTATTTTATACTATAATTATAATTTATCATTTACACATAACAAATATAAAACATACCTGCTGTCCCAGTCATTGGTACCCGGATCATATTTATAGGTAGGAAGGAAATTAATTGAACCCTCCTTATAACCTTTAAAGACATTTCCTGCCCGATGTTGTTGCTTTAGTTGATCTGCTTCTAAAACGTTTTTAAAATTATTTTTGCGTACTAAATCTTTTACAGATATTGGATCCAATTCAGTTATCCTATAATTGAGGTCACCAAACCAATAAACTTGACTAAAACAAAAAAAAAATTGAAAAAATTATAATAGTAAATTATAAAATTTTAATACATTTTAATGCACTCAGTCTGAAAGTTATATTTTTAAAATAACTATTGATTTTTAATTTTTTTTKTGTATGTGTTACTCACTTATGATCCTTAATAGTTTTTGGCGGTGTAAAATTTGAAAATACCATTCTTGAACATATATTTTGATAATCTTGGTTTCGTCTTTCATATTCTTCAACATGGGCTGCTAAATGTGTATTTACAAAACATAAAGAAGTATTATGGAAATCCATGCGAACTGCAACTCCACCTTTATTTCCCTACAATAAAGTTTAATAATTATGATTGTTTCTTAATATTTAAATAAAAATTTACCAATTTGCCCATAATTCCAGTACCAACAGTATCAGTAGCAACATTTTTGACATGTTCCATGTGTTTATTTTTAACAAACACTATAAGCATCATTCCAACCAATCGAACTAATGACACTTTTTTATAATTACCATTGGAATTTAGACTTTTTGTTACTGCTTGTCTAATTAATAATAAAAATACATTCAATTATTTATATTTAAAAAAAATTTATTATTAACTTAAAAGTCACTTAAAGWTTTTTATATAAAAATTAAATTCTTAAATTCTACTACACTGAAACCTCGGTATCTTAAAGTCGTAATGGACTAAAAAAAAAATTTGATGTATCGAAACTTCTAGCTAGCGAGGGAATTTAAAACATAAATAAAATTTTAAAATAAAAATTTTTAATTATTGGGAAAAATGTGTATTTATACATTGCATACATATTATGTTATATTAGTATTTGTCATTTGGGTAAGCATACATTGTCTAAAAAATGATGTCAAATTGATAACAAAGTGTTAGCAGGAATATTGAAATCTGTCGCAATATCTTTTTTTCTTTTCACACCTTTTTCAACTTCTTTTATAATTTTTAATTTGTCACCAACATTTAAGCACTTCAAAGATCGTTTATTTGACATTGTAAAGAAAAAACACACGTCTTAATGAAATATAACACAAAACATATATTTAATTAAAATCACRAATAAGTACAAACGACAGAATTACGACTAAATAAAATCAGAAGAGTCCATGTAACTTTATCGTCGTTATCGGTCACTAACTAAACTATATAAATATCAACATTATTATATACAACGTTGTGTGTATAAGCTCTATCATTTATCTTATATTTAATAGTCTGGGAATTTTCTACGTTATCTAATCTGTCATATATTCGAGTTAGTGAATCATAATAGGCGTTGGGTACCGGATAATGACTTCGACTTATGGAAATTCGATATATCGAAATAACTTAATACTTAAGTCCAATACTGAATGATCGGGACTGAACAAAAAATTCGAAATACAGAAACTTCGAGATACCGAGGTTTCACTGTATAATATAATAATTTTCTCCTAAAATTAAAACCGTAACGGTTACGGCATAACCTATCTATAAGTCATACAGAATCACTCTCTGGGATAACACTAATCAAACACAAAATTCATACAAATATTCCAAGCTATCTGTCTCTGCATGATTGTTAAAGTCCTTTGTAAGTCATAATTATTACATTACATAATGATGTAGCATTGTAGTAGATAGTATAGAATACCATTCAAATCACTCAACTTAATTCCAATGCACTTATGGAAAACCCAGCCAGACGCCTGAAAATCGAATGGCCCAGAGATATCAACATTCAACATACATCACACTATTCATATATATTTGTATTTCTCTCTAAAATTATTACCCATGCCTAGAAGCTTAAAATGTGAAATTCTTATTCAATGTATTTTTTTTCTTTCACTGCCTCATTTTAAAATCATTATCACTTATTTAATCATTGTATAGATCATAAATTAATTCAATTAAAAAAAAAAAAAAAATGTAGTAACTAATTATAGAATTATAGGTGTAAATTATTAAATAAAATAGGTTATTTTTCATAAATACTAACGAAATTTGTTGTTTTATACTTAATTTGAATTTACACAAGTGTCTTTAAATACATATAAGTTAACATACTATAACAGSAGTGATTGACTAATTGACTGTCCATTCAATTAAATATAATAGAAATGTTCATATGTTAGAATATATTAGGTTGATAAATCAATAATATAAAGTTTTGATATGCTTAAAGTACAAGTAGTGAAGTCTGATTATAATCAAAAATATTAAATTTTATAATCAACTTACAACCATTCTTCTTCTCGTGGAGAATCATTAAAAAGAAAAGCTTCTTTACTTAGGTCAAGTTCTTGAAAACCAATGGCATAAATATCAGGCGGTTCAGAATCACAAGTTAGCCAATCATTTAGTGAAGACAATGTGGGTTGGCCATTGACATTCCAAGTGCCAATATAAATACTAAAAAATAAATAAATATAAATATAAAGTTAAATTGTATGAAAAATGATAATGACCGAAAATTTTGTGCATTAGTATATTGTTCTTCACTCAAAATCATTTGTCGCTGTATAACACTTTCTCGAGAACTTGTATGTGTTCCAGTTGGAAATGATAAATCATTTTCAGAAACAGCCATCTTTTAAATATAATACATAATTAAATTACTAATAATACTTTTAATAAACATGAAATATTAGGTATACATTAGCTGTTATTATACTATTAGATGTATTATCACCATTGATATTCATCATCAAACCTAATTCCAAGTCAATATCATTTATATTATACTTTTTCAACCATTGAAAATCCAGTGTCTGTTGATTTTTCAAATAAACTGTAAGAAAATAGAATATTTTATAGTAATTATTAAATCATGAAATATTATTATTTAGAGTTAAATACTAACGGTCCATTGATCTAGATAATTCATTAAAAAAATGATTAGTTTCATGACCTGAATCCATTCCCATAAATAATTTTAAATTCCGTGCTGATAAGTTAATATAAATATCAGAGTTAGATTCTGCTGACAATGAATCTAAACATGATATAGTTATAATTAATTTTAATAATTTATAAATAATATCTATTTTACAAGTAATATTTATACTTGGTTACTCATAAATAATCACATTTAAAAAGGATTTTACCAAAATATTCCATAAATGGTATGTTCTAAGATAGGAAATTAATAGTGTTTACCTATATCACATTTGAAATCATTATCAATGGGCACAACAAAGTTGATTGTRAGGTCTGTAAATGCTTGTGGTGGATTTCTTGATGTTGTAAATATAAACAATCCAAATGATAGATTACGTTCAACCAAGGCTAATAATCGGTGAGCCTTGGGAGACCAGCCTTGCAACAGTACACCTTCATGGAGCTAAGTAATGGAGACATTTGTTAAGAAAGTATGATTGAATATTCATACATAAGTTTAAGTATAAATTTAATAATTARCTACTAATTACCGCCACTACATTGTCACCAGCGTTCAATTTATCTTTCATAATAGYAGATAGGTCCATTGTAGAATAAAATAAAATCCAMAGGTATAGCAACAGCTTAAACCGTACTCGACGGTTCGTTAAAATAGCCACCACGGACGATTAAAATACTACCAAGAGCAAATTGTAATATTTAAAATGAAACTACTCGCACCTCCTTCAAGAAATAGTACTGAACAATGTACACAAACAAATAACAATAGTGATAATAATACACCTATATAATTATTTATTATTAATATTGTAGTGGTGTAGTGCTGCTGGTGTACACACTATATAATTAAAATACCAATGAATATTTTATCATCATTATTTATTTACGTATGAGATAGAATGCATAGAGACATKGAATTGTAAGTCATGAAGACTGGAATAAACCAATTAGCTGAATGTACGTGTTTAAAAGTCCGTGTCGTGTATAGTCGATTCATTATTCATATACATAATAATTAACACTATTTAATTTTCAACTTATAATTATTGCTCAAAGCTTGTTACTTATATTAGACGTCCAAAACTGAATCATTGATAGTTGATACTAAAATTGACAAGACTGTATTATTGATATTAAACTATTATCTAAGGACAAGACATACAAATTAAAGCATTATTTATACTTGGCCGCCACATATTATAACTTACTATATAAGTGACTGATATAGTCAGTGATATCACATAATGCATAGTAAAAGATTAAAGGCTTAATGCTGGATCACAACCTTTTGCTCCACAAAACAGTTGTTCCAATTTGTTTGAATCCATTAAACATCCAAAAATTCTGTAGCTTAAATTTTATTCCAATCCAAGAAAGTTCATATTTTAGCACAGACTTCTATACTTATTAAAGAAGTCTGTGTATTTTAGTTCCCAATGACCAATTGTTCCACTATCTATTTATCCCACTAGCTAATACTTCCAATATATTTTTGTATTTAGAGACCGTCGCGCGTCGTGGTAAAAGCGTAAAAGTGAAAAAAATGCAACGCTCAAGAGATGACGTTGTGCGCCTATTAGCAACATTTTAAATAGTTTTGATTAGGTAATAAATATTGAAGTACTAGGTATTTATTTAATAAATATTATGTACAACAATCAACTTCATATTTTATGTAGGTATTATGTTTAAAATCATGATAAATTATCATGTTTAAAATTAAAATAAGTAAGTTAGTATAGTAATACTATAATTATTTATATTATTGCAATTTGCAGAACCTAAGTAAAAAAAACAATCTGTATAAACTAAACATGTTCATTGTTGCTTTGTTCGTATTCATATAATGTATAAAAATTAAAATTAAATTTTGTAGGTACCCACAGAACACATTTATTGATTAATGATATGTAATAATTAATTAAACCACAACATTTGGATTAATGATTTTTAACTTGCCAATAATTTTGTTGCCCCAGAACGATTCATCGTAATTTATTAATTATATTTCCGTCCAATTTTTTGAGTGGACGACGAAATAACAGAATTTTCGTTTAGAAATGTGCATTTATCGCTAGATTTTATAATAATATGGTGATGAATGATGATCAATTTTAAATTCATCGTTCCATTGTCATCGAGACGACAAAATAACAGCTATACAAAAATATATTATAAAAAAGTAATGAAAATMTTTTACATGTCTTTATACTAAAATTCTAATATATTAATAACTCAATTTGGTACAGATATTATAGGATAGTATAATATTATAGTTACTCACTTTTTTACTGCTTATCGCTTCCGAATTGAAATTTGAATCTCTGACTTGATTGGACATTTGATTTCAACTAAGAAATCATCATTAATTATACCATCTGTGTATTATACAAAAAAAAATTATTAATTAGTATTTTAATGTTTATTTTGGATTTTGATAAAATATATAATGATTTTCCAAATTATATATTACCTGTAGTTGTTGCTAAGTAAGGAAAATGTTCATCAATGATAAGTTCATATGGATTAACTTTATGCATTTTAATGTTTGTTAATGCAACAATAGCTTCTGGTTTGGTGGCTTTACCATAATCAGTTGCCTTAGAAAAAAATGTTCGGTATAGTATATCGTAAATTGTTTTTTTACAAGACGTAGTTGGTCGTAATTTACAAACATGAGCAAAATATGACGTAGTAAGTCTATTTCTTCGTTCAGAATGCCAAATTTGAGAGTTAGCCTGTTGTCTAGTTTGTGTTTCAATATTTAAGCGACCACTTCTATCTAATCGCAAGAAATTGATAACATCTTCTTTTAATATTTAAATTTTCTAATATTTGTAATGATTTTTTAGACATTTTTCCTTTCTCGAGTAGCGGTTCGACCATAATGTTCATCTGGGCTAACATGATTTTTTTTCTTATGTTTTAGAAAAAGAAGTTTTTAGATTTTAATTGTTCTCAGTCAATGTTAGGAATTTCTTTGCTACAATACCTATATATAAATACAATTTATTATAAGGATGATGAAGTATCCGGATTGGAATAGTCAGTTCCTAAATGTGGGTCGAAAATGATGTATCTAAAAAAAAATTGTAGTATATGTCATAATATTATACAATTTAAAAAAAATAGGTGTGATTACCTAATTGCTCCAATATTAGGTTAATTATTCACTATTTCYTCATTAATCGATTTTTAAAATACTTTAAAACGATCTTGCATTATATTTTTCAATGATCATTTTCTAGAAACAAACTGTGGTTTTTGGATTGCTATTTTTAGTGGATCAGTAACGTCCAAATTTGAAGTTTTTAGAAGGGGAGGGGGTCGAAAGTAAAAAGTTCTTAATATTTTTCTTAATAATCGGGATAAATAAACTAAAAATTAAGGAAAAAACGGGAATTTTCACGCACAATCAGTTTTCCACAAAATCGATTTTGGTTTTTGATGTAACTTATTTAAAACAAATGACTATGAAATACATGAAATTTTCACCAAATGTTTATATAAGTATATTCTATCCACCATGCAATTTTCAAAAATTTTCGACTTAAGTTGAACTATTTATAGGCATATGTAATTTTCGATCATTATTAGTTTTTTTACAAATTAATATCGATAAAAATTTATTTGTTGAGTAGAAAAGCTTGAAAATGTAATACGAGGCGCCTAACAAATTGTCACAATACCTAGCAGTTGAATAATATTAAAAATACATAGGGATGACTTTTTTTTATAAGCATTCAAAGTTTGAATTTTAACAAAATACGTAAAAAATTTAATTTTATGGTGTATAGAAAATGCCAATATAAACATTCAGGGCGATGCCCGTTTCCACCAAAAGTGTACCTTTTCCTTTTCCACCAATAACCGTTTCCACTAAAAGTGTATCTTTCCCTTTTCCACCAATATCCGTTTCCACCAAATAAAATTATTTACCACGTTTTTACAAAAACAATTATTGTATACAACTATATTCTATAGTTCTATACGATTGAAAAAAAAAATATCAACCAATTATATAATATATAAGTAGATAGTAAATAGATAATTTGATGTATATATAAATATATATACATAACTAAATATACTAATATATCATTTTTTCAATCCAGCATTAGTATTTTAAATAAACTTATTGCTGTATTAAAGATTTTAATATAAGCGTAGTATACAAATTATTTTGGTGAATTAACCGTGGTTTAATTATAGGTAGATCTCATTTGGTGGTAACGGATATTRGTGGAAAAGTGAAAGATACACCTTTGGTGGAAACGGGTATTGGTGGAAAAAGGAAAGGTCTACTTATGGTGGAAACATGTTACATCCGAACATTTAGTGAAAATGTCATGTACCTACGGTCATTTGTTTTAGTTACACCTTACACTAAAATTAAAACCGATTTTGTGTGAAAATTCCCTATGTTCCTTAATTTCTTGTTTTGTTTTTCCTGCGCCTTTGAAAAATATACTTGCAGCAGTTGCAGGATTTTGACAGTTTTCAACTGATTTTAGATTTATTTACTTCGATTAAACTCATATCTATACGATATTGTATGTACAATCCCAACTATTAAAACGATAACTAACTAGCGTCGATGACATACTAAATAAAAGGTTAGGTCATTAAGCCGGCCACACACGACTCATGTATTGCGTATTGTTTGTTTTTTAATATAACGATTATTGTCCCTTCTACAGTCTTGCATGACTAATATAATTTTTGATTTTCTTTTGATTAGTTTTAACGACAATCGATTCGACGGGAAACTATAAGTGAAAATATTGCTATGTTTTACACACGCGGTATATTATTGTATTAATTACGGAAGGTGGACAATCGACCGACAACCAAAATACCGTCAATAATATTATAAGTACATATAGTAGTTTAATTTCACTTATTT